CTTTCGGTTGACGCTGTTCGTCCCGCCCTCCGCCTTTAAGAGAGAATTTATAAAGTGGGGAAATGTTTTTTCATTAGGACATCTCCCGTGCTAGTTTTCCATACTCACACTTGCCTACTCATTGCATGCTTGCATGCTCAAAGCATGCTTGCGTACCCATCACTTGTATACTTACACTGCGTGCTTGCCGCGTGTCAGTGTGTATGTGTAAGTGTCAATGTCGAAGTGTCAGTGTATGTAGTGCGACTGTAGTGGAAGTGTCAGTGTGTAAGTGTCAGTGTCGAAGTGTCAGTGTTCAAAGGATTTTCCGGAAGAACCCTTCGCAATGCTTTCGGGAAAAAGGGAACAGCAAAGCGCATCAAAAGAATAGGATCAACCCTCGTCCGCTGGTCCGCTGGTTTGTTCTTTTGTCTTGGCCCTTTTCTCCTCGTCTTCTCGTTGTTTCTTCCCTTTCTCTAACTTGGCAGCCTTTTATATATAGTGCGCAAGACTTGCGCAGTCGCGTGTTTTGGATATGTATTGGTCTTCTGGATCCTCTGGTTCGCCCTTTGGTTCTATGCTGTTTGATCCGGTCTCCTAGTCCTCTGGGCTGGTTCTCTGGCTGCCTGGTCTTTTCGTGACCCTGGTCCTCTTGTTCCTTTTTGCTTGAAGCTGGCGCAGGCTTGTTTTCTTGAGTTTTAGGGTTCGAAGGCTTGGGTTGGTTCCACGCATGCCGTGTGCAGTGCCTGTCAGGAAAACCTCGTCGACAAATCAAAGGAAGGTGTATAATATTGTTGTTGAGTCCAGACTAAAGGACCCTGAATGAAAGAATGGCAACGGAAAAGCAACGATACTTATTGGACAATGCAAGTCAATAGAAAGGGTGTCAAAAGGCGATCCCTTGCATGGGACATGCAGTGGGCAGAGTACTTTGGAAGAAGTAGTGCAGATTTGTGACACTCGGGGGTGCAGCACGAGAGAACCAGAAGCCACCACAAAAAAGCCCTTAATATATATATATATATATATCCAAGAGCCAAGAACATCCCTTAGGTGTAATTGTCCCTTCATGTCATCATTCCCTATTTTTTGTTCATGCTCTTATTTGGTATTTCCTTGAATGCCTTTTCATGTCATTGCCCTAAACAAGCGAATTCTGGAATTCGAAACCCGGGAAACAAGTCTACCCTTGCCACTAAACATAAGCTTTAAGCTTGAACATCGGCGCCTTTCGTTCCTGGAATTTGTCTTCATGTAGATGTGTAACCAATCGAACACGCCAGAATCAGACTCCTAAAGCAAAGCAGGGAACCTCCAAGCAAAGAAGGAAACCGAACAAAGTGAGCAAATGCAAGCAACGCTGAGCGGGCTTTTACGCGAATCTTGACATTGTTGCCTACGCAAAATGACTCGATATGTACCACGGGAAACTGACCAACGCTAACCGGCGTAATCAGCACTAGATTCACAGTACATCCTTTCGGTTTTCCTTCATGTCCTCATTCCTTGATTTTATTCTCATTTTGGTTCTTTCCTTCCAAGCCTTTTCATTTTCCTTCTCTGTTCAAAGCCCTTTTTATGTTCTTGTCATTTTCTATTTTATATATGTCTATTCCCTTGGACTGTTCCCTTTTATTTTTTTTTGTATCCTTGACCCCAAAGCGCATTGTTGCCTCCCTTGCCATTTCAAGTGCCCCTTCCTGGTTGCACGTTTCGCTTTACGACAGGCATTCTACAGTCTCCGAGTAGGAAACAATTGAGAAATTTGAACAGTTGTAGTAGGCTTCTGCGATTTATGATGGGGTTGGATGGGGTTGGTCTTTCTCACTAGCTTGAGCAGATGCTTTTGCTGTATAGGATGCTCGGACTCTACACAGAGGTTGTTACAAGACTTGCAAGACTCGCTGAGTGCCGGGCTCTGAACAGCTCCAGCAGCGTCTGGTCTTACGCCTGAGGTGTTGAGGCGCAGCCAGCGAGGAACCTAGCACTATGAGAGTTGACCGACCTGGTTGACCTGTTTCGACCTGTTTGACATTGAATTTGAGATGAAATGTGATGCTACTGCTACCGTGTGCGACTCTGCCCACTACTACCAACTTTTCCGGCAATCCAGTTTTGAGAGTTCATTGAAGCTTCAGATAGCCAAGGTATACAGTGATCATGGGGGTCACAAAATTGCTCAAGGCAAGCCGGATACGCGCTTGTTTTGTGCCGTGCAGACGCGGAGATCATTGTGGGTTTGGTTCAATACACAGCCAAGACTTGCTGAGCCTGTAATGACCGCTTTGTCCAATCCTCCAGTTTCATGTATCGAAAAAAATGCTGTGTCGCAAAGTGCCGGGTAAGTGACAGTTTATAACGTGAATTGAACCCAAGATCCTTATCATCAACATTTCTTGGTAAGCGTGAAGCTCCTGAAAGTTTGCAGTGATGCAGGGTGGCACTGCTCCCGCAGAAACTAAGCCTCTTTGTTACTCTTGATGACTGAGCAGTTCTACAATATGGCAAAGGGACAGTTCTAAAGGTTTATCGAAGTATGACCAACAGAGTCCTTCACCCGCCCTATGACACTATGATACTCAAGCCGGAAGACTCTCCCAACCACAATCCCTTGTCTATTGCTGTACCGAGTTGCGAGAAAATCGAATGAAAGAAGCTGCCTATGGACAAGCGCACCATGGGGAGGCCGAGGAAGGGATTGAAGTGTATGTGATACATACATACATACATACATCCGTAGCCATTTTGGCTCAAGTGAGAGGTTCAAGGTGGCATCCCCTCATAGAAGTCCACCTAGTGCGGAACCCCATTGCACCACGTGTGCATTGAGTTTCTCAACACGGACACCGCCATTGACCTCCACCTGGGTAAGCGTCCTTTGCTCGCAATCTTGCTGTTCACCAACCTCGCTTCACTCGAGCTCTTTGGTGCCTGGCAAGTTGCTCGCTGTGGCTTCGACCTGCGTACCCACTACGTGACTGGCACTACCTCACTGAACTGCCCTACGGCCTGACCGTGACTGAGGCCCTGATCAGTGGCAACGGCTTTGCCTTCCTTTTTGTCTTTCAGAAGCACCTGAAGGACCGTCCTATCCTGAAGTATGACGACCACCAGGACTACCTCATGGTGCAGGAGCTATGTCACATGCAGACACAGCCACTGCACGAACTGGATATGGCAGGACAAGCTCAAGCCTGACACCAGATGCCGCCAATGTGGCACATGGTGGCCAACTCTCACGGTCAACCACGGAGGCACGGGCAAGGGCAAAGGTCAAGGCAGACCCACGAAATCAGAAGCAAAACAACAAGCTTCTTGGCTGGAAACACCACCAGGCCTTGGCAAGCTGAAGCCTTTGAAGAAGACCAAGATCCAGAAGGAAGCCACGGAACTCCTTGAACCTGTCTGGAGTGGCATGTCCCATGAACTACAAGACAAGCTCCAGAACCTCGGCATTGGCCCCAAGAAACCGCCAGAGCCGGATCTCCATGAGATGCTGAAAACCCACATGGCAGCTCTTCCAGCGCAGGTCCAAGAGGTGGTCACCCGCCTCACCACACCAGCCCCGGCTTCAGAGCAAGACATAGCCATCAGGCTGAAGGGACAGGTCACTGACCTGAAGAACCTCTCCACGAAGAAAACTCAGCTCCAAGAGAAGCTGGATCAAACCAAGCTGCAATACCAAACCCTTCTCCAGGAAATGCAGGACCTTCAACAGAAGCTCAATGATGGACAACAAGCCCTCAAGCTGTTATCCGAGAACTACATGAAGGCAGTCAACAAGGAGACGAAGCAAGCAGACTTGGATTCAGGCATGGACATCGACACACTGCCTGCAGCAGTGGAAACCTTCGTAGCCAATCTTGGAGTCTCACTATCTGATGAACAGAAGACACAGCTTCATGGGCTCCTCAAGCGACCCAATGACACGGATGGTGACCTTTCCAAGCGCAGGAAAACAGACAGCCCGGCCATGGCAACACCTCCAGGGTCGGGTGGGTAACATGCACGACATGCCACAAGGGTTTCAGGGACTCCAGGTGCCGGTCCCCGATGACGATTTTGACAGAGCACCAACCACAAATTTGGTTTGCCGCGCTGCCTCAAACCCAGCACCGGCGGGGACTCAGCAAATGGACACTTGTGCAGGGGACAATTCACAACTCCATTTGCAGAACCTTTCTCAATCCATCTCCAAGGAAACCTCTAACAAGAGTGCGGGGTCAAATTCTCTTGTTCATGAGGTTCAGACTCCAACACAGGAGCACATTTTTGCAACACCTCACCATTCGGCCGTTGATGGATCATCTCTTGGTGCACCTGGGCCAGAAGTGGTGAAAATTCAAGGGGGTGGAGCATCTAGGCCACCCCAATCAGGCCACAAAGGCAAAGCCGCCATGCAGAGCACTTTCGCTTCGACCACGGAGTGCATCTTGCAGAATCTCACCATGACAGTGGGCAATCCTAGTGCACGCTGCTATGCCAATGCACCATGGCGTGCTTTCACATGGACATGCGCTTTGCTGCAGGAGACCAACATGCAGCCTTGGGGAAATCTCCAACTGGCAGTTCAAGAGTCGCTCGAACTGGCTGAAGCAGTAGATATCCGTGAGCTCCCAGGCCTTCATCCTCTTTGGACCAAGCATGACCTCAACATCCAAGGAGATGCAAACCATTTCGTGAACACGTTGTGGAACCACTCCCAAACGAGGGCATTCCACTACAGGTATGCAGAGATCCAATCAGGCGGCTACCTCAAGGATCACATCCAACAGCCCATCCTGGTGGATTTCCCAGATGACTGGCCGGAGAACACCAGCCTACAGGATCTCTACAATGGTTGGGCCAACACAGGCCTTGGACAATTCCTGCTGGACGACAAGCCTGTGCTGATCTCCCACATCACCCGCAACACATGTGCACAGGTCAACCAAGAAGGCACTGGCAACTCAGGTGGCATCCTCATCCTTGGGGACCAAGCCAGCGGGCTGACACCACTTGCAGCCTACACCCAGCAAGGATGTGGATTTCAAGCTTTCCTTTGGCAGGCCACTGAATGCACAATCCTCGTTGCAGGAGTATATATGAAGACTGGGGAAGGCCTCCAAACAGACACCAATGCCACTATCTTGGCCAAGCTACTGGCCCTGGTTGAAGCCACTAAACACCCTTACATCCTCCTGGGAGATTGGCAAAACAGCCCGGACAGCTTCACCAGCACGGTGCTCCCTTCCAAGTTCCACTTTGATGTCAAGGCCCCCGACCACAGCATCCTCTCTGGCAAAGTTCTCGACTATGCATTGCTGCACAACACCTTGGCACCGACCACGGCCCTTACTACGGATTGGGCTGTGCCTTGGAGACCACATGCACTGATCACTTTGCACCTCAACATAGAAGCAGCCACCAAAGAATACCGGCAGATCCAGTACTACCCTCCGCTGCCGGCGACTCCTGATATTGACTTTCGGCCATGGACTTCCTACCAGTCACAAGCCTACGAGATTGAGTTGTACGGCATTCCACCCAATGAGCAGGCACAACAATGGGCTGATTGGATCTCTTGCACCGAGCAATACCTCCTCCACGAGCACCCCTGGGCAGCTCAAGGACGTGGCGCAAGCCTGAAGGTCAGCATCAAACCCTTGGTGTCCACCCAAATCTCCACCACGTGGAAAAAAGGGAAGCCAGCCTTTTGGGAACAGTTGAAAGCCAGATTCCAGCTGGCGATGAAGCAACCGGCCACGGTTCAAACTGGCCCACTTCGAGGTTTCATGCAGGCCCTCCAAGATGTTCCAAAGCATTGGGTCGGACCGCCAACCTGGGGCCAGTTCTTTGACACCAGCCACCACTGGCACCGCTACAGAGACACCCATGCAGCAGAGCTGGTGCTTCACACCATAGCCCATCAGCTCCGCGAAGCACAGCAAGCAGCCAATGATGAAGCCCACCTCCAGTACAAAGACTGGCTCAAGCAAGGAGAGGCCAAAGGGCTCAGAGGTCTCTTTCGGAGCCTCAAAAGCAGTGAACTAGCCTGGGAGCGGCCCTATAGAAACCTCCCACCGGATGAGCGGATGACCCAACGACTACAAGACTGGCGCAAGTTATGGCAGATCAGGCAAACGGAGCAGCCACACGAACGCCCCAGTCTGCAAACACAGGCCAGACAACAAGCACAACAACTTGAGCCCCTGACGATTGGCCACCTGGCCTCGGTTCTCAAGCACCTTCCGGATAAGGCATGCGGACCTGATGCAGTGTCAGCCCAACTGCTACGCACAGCACCCCCGTTGGCACTGCAGCCACTTCTCAAGCTGTTCCAAGACATGGAGCACCAAGCACAGCTGCCAACGCAACAACAGATGCACATGGTCATCATGTTGCCTAAGACCAGCACCAAGGAGAGACCCATCACACTAACCTCCTTACTGTACCGTGTGTGGTGCAGACTAAGGAAACCAGTGCTGGACCAATGGCAAAAACAGCTGCCGCCCACAATGCAACATGACAGAGCCAGACCGGGCGCCCAAGTACTGCAAGTGGCCTTGGAAAGGCTACTCCGCCAGGAGGTCCACAAGGCCAATGGATGTCATGGAGTCACCTGCCTAATGGACATGAGCACGTTCTATGACACCATCAACCTCACCAGACTCCAACAAGAGGCACTCCGGCTAGACTACCCACCCCTGATGTTGGAGCTAGCCATGCAGCTGTACACGGGCCCCAAAGCCATCCTAGCGGAGCAGGAAATGACTCCATTCTTCACCGTCCAAAATGGAGTCCCAGCTGGATGCCCCCAAGCACCCTTGTTGGCCAAGGCCGTGTTGGCACCAGCGCTCCAACCATGGCAGGTACAACAAGGTGCACCTCTCAAGCTGGGTGGATGATGTCGGCTTTGACACGGCTGGACGATCGCCCATGGCAGTTGCACAAAAGGCAGTCAATGCCTACAGAGACATGCATCGCCGACTTGTTGAACTGGGCCTCAAAGTCAACCCACAGAAAACAGCATTCATAGCAACCGACCGCAGCACCGACAAAGCACTGCGTGAGATCCTTCAGCCAGATGAGCCACCTGTTGAGACGGTCATGAGGGACCTTGGAGTAGACCATCAAGGGGCCAGGCGACGAAGGATACCGGTGATGAAACACAGACTGGCCAAAGCCCACAAACGCAAGGTCAAGCTTCGCACTTTGCGAATTCCAACTCTGAAGATCCGACTCCGCCTTCATCGTGGAGGAGTACAACCCGCAGCCCTATGGGGAGTTGAAGGCCAAGGGCTGGCCCCACGCTACCGGCAGGCCCTGCGACAAGCCATGGCCAAGCATCTTGGGCATCACACTGGCGGCCTGCTAGACAGCACCTATGACCTCCATCAAAAGAAGTACATTGATCCAGCAGACCAAGTCATCCTCCACCATATCAAGGCTATCCATAGCCTCATACAAGCCTGGCCCACTGAACAAATGGCAGCACTTGAGCAGGCCTGGGAGACCACATTTCACCAGCTGCACACCAAGCAATACCCGTGGTACACAGTCCGGCCATCACCTACCTCAAGGAGTGGGGCTGGCAGGCTAACAGCCTGCGGAGATGGACGAGGGCGGAGACGCCACTAATGCTCAGCAATGAAATTGACATGCGCCAGCCTTGGTGGAAGGTTGAGAAGATCCTCTTACTGGAA